TAACAAAGCAGTTTCAATACATTATGATCTCGTTTGCAAACTTCATTTGAACCAAAAAATGTTTGCCGACTGCCTTGTTATCTGTATTATCATACTTAAGTAAGTTTTATTGCATGCGTACAGTTGTATGAAACAAATTTCTTGTGAAGGAACGGGTAAGCGGTTATTAGTAATTTATACTTTAAATGTCTTATTTAATTCTCTTTTTATTAAGAAGAAATATATTATTTCCTTACAGAAATGAAGGTCCTTTTATTTCAGAAAAATGTTCATTCATAATATATAGGCTTGAATTATAATTGTAATTAATTAAACTTTTATAAATGTCGATAAATGTTAAAATTATATATATATATATATATATATATATATATATATATATATATATATATAAATTTCTTTTAAAGAATTTATTAACATCAGTCGTTATTCATATTTGAAATTACATAATATATTGTCCATCCACATATTGTTGAGCCCTCACGGTTTATTTTACTGGGAAGCGAACATTTCTGATTATCAGATTTAGTCGACATTTGTTGCTATAGTTTATTCGTAATTCAACCAATGTTGGTAAAGGAGTAGGGATCCCGGGACTGCAAAAAACTTGCGCATTTAATACAAGGTTGTCGATGGCGATGTTTTTTGGCTTTTGGTTCCGTTACCATACCGTAAGGAATGAAGAATTGCAATATGCGGGATGCTGCGGTAATACATCGTGACACTTCACGTATCTACGCGCAAGTTTTCTTGATATACGAGCTCCCTAGTCCTTATCCAGCGCTGAATAGCACGGCACGTTGAGATACTTAGGTTTGACTCGGAACGGCACGTACAAATTTACAATGCTGACAACAACCACCTCGTATTTTGAAAACAATCGTAGCATTTCTTGTGGCATGCTTTGGCGAATTAAGTTCATGCCCACAATTGGTACGCCCTTTTCAGCCGTGACGTAGCCAAATCCCTCCTCTCCCCACACCCCCCGCTGTGGAATATCAAGAAAACTTGCGCGTATAGTACTTTGCACTGTCCTCACTTCCGTACATGATGTATGCGTCTCCATTTCATAATCAAGGATGTATTTTGCTTTCACAAATGCAGTGATGAGAGCACTAGAGAATGAAGAATGAATCAGCGAGACACGACAATTCACGACAGTTTTTATTTAAGCGTATACATAATCAGAGACGGGAGTCAGGGATGACAAGACTCCTGCTGCTCCCCCCTCCAATGTTGGAATAAATTTAAAAAATATATATGTAGGCATTTCATTTCGCCGATCTTCAAATTTATATTATAGTAGATTTTCTTTTGTCTGAATTTTTTGAAGAAATTTAACAATAATTAAGAGTATATAATTTTATTAAACTGAGCTGATAACATACATTAATAAATTGGGGAACTTTGCAGTATTACAAAACGCGCGAGATAAGGTTCAGCGTTTCTGTGAATATCCTATATCAATAAATCATATTTCACTTATATTTTGTTTTTAAACGTTTTTTTTTCTTAGAAATTAAACAGTTTTATTCCTAAAATCATGAGTCATAACTCTCAAAAAAGAAAGAGTATTTTCTATTTATTGTACACATACGATACATGCTACTCAAATTTCAAAATAAAAACATCCAGCCAGCTACAATAAAATGTTAAATTTATATACGTTTATTTATAAGTTATACATCAAATACATATCGTGAGCAATGCAGATTATTAAAAAGTAAATTATTTAATACAATCATACTGCATGATGCTTTTCGTACATTTTTATTAAAGTTAATATTATTTAAACAATGTAATTTTTTTATAAAATTGTAATTTTAAATTTTTGTAAAAAAAATACCTGCCCTTCAAATTTGCTTCACACCTCCACTCAATAAAAGATCCGAAATCCCGCCTCTGTACATAACAATGAAACGTCGGACCTAGTTTGTTAATGATGTAATTCTTGATTTCTACGAGAGGAAACGGAAATGGAATCCTGAGTCCTACCCCCACCCCTCTCCGCAAAAAATTGAAACTAGTGTGGGTACAACAGCACATACTTTCATGTAATATAGGTAACAGTTATATAATACTTCTAGCTGAACCCGTACGGAAAATTTCGCACACTAGAAATCTTTTGCACGTTTTGACTGTTTTGACGAGTTACTTCACTTCACAAATGTTTTCGCGAATAGTCCTATCTCGTAAAGTATTTGCGCGAGCTTGCGTATTAAATAGAGTACGTAGGTTTCTGCGGTCAGCTCACCAAACATTCAGCCGCAAGGTAGTTCAAGAGTCAATATGACTTAAAAAAATACCTTAAAACAACTCTCATGCATAATTTTTTGGAAATCCGTAAGTTTTAAAGAAACTACCATTATGAAAAGTATGTTAGTACATTGAAAGACTGGCATTTAGTGTTCCCAATTTTTTTAGATAGTCAAACATGAAGATCACTTCAAAACAGTCATATTACACATGTATTATCGTTACTATTTTTTCATTACACACACAAAGTACAATGTTTCGGAGATTCTATTCTCCATCTTCAGGAACATCAATTTTATACTAAGTTTTTTTAGTGGAATCATCAACACTTTTCACATTTCTTTTAATGTATATGTGTCGTAACATCAACACAAACACGTCGCGCCATTCCCGATGTAAGAAACTGGACATTTAATGTTTAATATTATATTTAATATAATATTACATGTATGTAAGTATACATATATGTATGTAATTGTTGTATATTATATTTATCATACAATGTTTAATATTATAATTTAATATTTGTGACGATGTAACGGCCATTAGTGCGTATCAAAAATTGGCCTTAATCTCATACCCGGCAAACACTCGAAACTTTGAAAAAATTGCAAAACGTTATCAATTTAAAACTTGAAAATTGAAGGTAGATATTTTTGCTTAAAAAATATCTGTAGTAAAAATGCACCTCTTTATAAAAAGCCATGTACAATTTTTTTCAAAAAAACAGATTTTTCGTATTTTGCCCTTGAAATTTATGCAATTTATAAAAAAAAAGCATTGACTCAAAACCACTCCATTTTTTCTTTAATTTGTTTTCTACTAATAGAACAAGAAACATCTAAAGGAATGACGCAGACTCTTTTTCGTTGAACTCTCCGAATTTTAGAAAATTGCAATTTTGCCATTTTTGAAGTAACGCTAGAATGTGTGTGCTGTAGTAACACCTCCAGTTTTATTTCTTACATATATTTAAATCAACTACCATTTTTAAAAAATAATAAGGGGGTTAATCTGATTTTACACGCGAACGCATGCACGCGCGTGCGCCCGCACACACACACACACACACACACACACACACACACACACAAACACACACACACACACACACTCACACACACCACACACACACACCACACACACACACCACACACACACACCACACACACACACACCACACACCACACACACACAGCCAAAGTACTTTCTAGCTCCGCAACTGCACACGTGAGATCTAACAGTTCGTGACAAGAAATCAGTTGCAACCTGCAATCGTGTAATAGAGTTAAAACGTTCACGAAAGTATGTTGCTCCACAATTCTCGTAATTTCACTTTCACAAATTCAATAATTACTTATTTTCCAATTCGATTAAATCAATCCACGTACACGTTAACTCTTGTTAAAAGGACTGTTCCAAGTTGTGTAGAAACACTGAATCGAAAGAAAGGGTTAACTATGTGCGTGTTTCTTATCAATGAACTCGTCCGCTCCAATGTTCAAGACATCAGACTTGACACATGTTCACGAGCGACCAGCTTCGACACTATTACAATCGTGGTTTGTCATTACTTATTACTAGTTTTGGAACTAACATACATCACTAAACGGATTAATTTGACAAGAAACCGAAAGATTAATCATTAAATTAAAAACAACACAATTCTTGTTACATCATTTAAAGTCAACCACAACGGAATGAAACGTATGACCTAGCATTCAAAAAGATCAAAAAATGTAATTCGTGCGAGATGGTCCACTCAGAATGAATCTGAAAATTCAGAATAAGATAATCATGCAATTCACTTCCGGACACAATATATCGACAATAAAGACAAACCTTGAAAGCCCCCCTGGTTCATTTCAAATTCACAAATCCACCGAGAGCTTCACATACCTCTCCTCTCAGAATTCATCTCACAACCCTCTGAAAAATATTATTCTCTCCTCCCAGCATGCCCCAACACTCCAATATTCAATCTCGGCCAAAATGCATATTATCCATCACGCATTAGATCCGAATTCCTCAAAGATCTCTTTCGCCCACCCTAATTCATAAAATTATTTGCCCCCTTTTCCAACAAACACTCTCCCCCTTCCTCTAAACCACAAATGCAAACTTCTCTTAGTGAAGATATCCAAATATGAAATTTTAAAAATATAGTGAAGGGTTATTCCAAGACCCTCATTTTCCTGAGGATGACCAAGTAAAATCATTGTATGTAACATTGTACCCGTCAAAACCCCCGAAAGACAAAAGTCGAACGGGAATAAAATAAATAAAAAAAATATCGTATAGGCTATAAACACCATGCTAGCTCCGAGTATGTGTCGTTCTCGTTTCCTGTTAATACTACACGTACTCTTAATTATAAAACCACACCACAACAACGTGAAAACATTGTCCAAAGGCAACTCTTGACACAAAATATCTGTCCTATCTGCATATCAGTTTCCAAAAGGCAACGAAAAATTACAGTCGCCATAACTCTTGAAAGTTGATAGTAAACTCAAAGAAACAAGTCATTGGCCGAACAATCAGAAATCAATTTCGTATTCCTTGAATCGATTCCGATCGATTAAAACACGGTACTCTGAGATCACAATTACTGACAGGAATTAACCAGCACATTCAAAGCAACCAACAATGTATCACAATAAAAAGAAATCAATGCACACACACACACACACACACACACACACACACACACACACAAATTGAAACTTTTTATAAGTATTTACCTCGCTATTTTCCGCGAACCATCTTCCAATGTTCCAATACGAAGGAATCCGGCAACAAACACGGTTTTTGGCCCGAGCGAACTGTTACAGTACCACTGCCAGACGAACCACCATCACTCAGTACTATACTGTTTTCGCAAATCAGCCACCTTTTTCGGGATAAGTAGAAAATAGTTCAACGACCGTGTACTGACGTAAAGGTTGTTCTTGACGGACGGTCACAAATACGAGTATTGTTTTTTGGTCAAACACGCATTGAAGTTGAGCATTATTTTCAATACTTCACAGCATCATCGAATCATCCAACAAAATCAAAACAAGAAATCAGTCCATAAGTACTGGTCTTCGCCCAAATATTGTTATTCAGTAACAAATATTGTTCATTGTTTAAATTGACATTCAAATTTTAAATTACATTCAACACTTGATAACACACTCGAATCATCCAGCAATATCAGTACAAGAAGTCAATCCATAGGTACTGATTATTGCACGAAAACTGCAATTGAGTCACAAATATCTTTTGTTGTTTAAATTCAGTACATGAATCACTTGACAGCCCACACATCCATCCACAACGAGAATTCAGTCCACAGATCTCGATCCGAAGATCGTCGGTAGAGAAACACCGTAAATATTGTTCCGTTCCAACGCATTCATCGCAAACCACAAACACAGTTCATCGAACCACGTCTAAGCGGCGAGCTTTAACGCACTCCCGAAACAGTTGCCGGTCGCGCGCAGAGCGTTTAAGCGCAAAGCCGCGTGGTTGTGTTGGCACGTGCGACGACTCCGGCTGGGCGCCGCCGTCGCAGCTGACTGGGCTACCCAGGCCATGCCCTGCCCCCACCCCACGCCCGTCGCTCTCCTTCCCCACCCCCACCCCACCCGCCGCCCGGCCGATCGTCCGCGCGCGCTCTTCTGGAAAGCATGCTGCTGCAGCAGAAGCAGCGCCGGCGAGGCGGTGGATGGGGGGGAAGGCGGACACGCCCGCAACGCTCCTTGGCAGCCGCCGCCGCCGCTCCACGCCCGTAGGGGTGCCCAAAATAAACAGGCTGCCGGTTGTGGTGGTTCCCGGAATTCACTGGGGCCCGCACCAGCGTGTCTTTGCGCTGATTGCTGGGCGAACTGTGTTTTGCGCTTTGCGTTCGTCTTTTTCCGCTGTTGCTGCTTCACCTTCAACTGCTCCTATCGCTGCTTCACCTTCTTCGTCTGCTACTGCTGCTTTTTTATGTTATTCCTGTGCCACTGCTGCTTCTTACCCATCTTCTTCGTCGTCTGCTGCTGCTGCTTCAACACCTTATACTTCCTGTTACTGCTGGTTCTTCACCTTCGTCTGTTAACGTTTCTTCTTCGACTCTTGCAGAATGCAAGAGACGAAGGAGCAAAATAGCATTAACACCATATTGCTCTATTCTTTTCTTTTTTCAGATTTCATCTTCTTCGTTTGGTAATTCTTCTTATTCCTCTATTGCTACTTCTTTATCTTCGTCTGCTGCTGATGCTTCGTGACCTTCTTCCTCTGCTACCTACTGCTGCTGCTTCTTCTTCTTCGTCTGCTACTGCTTCTTCATCTTCTTGTTATTATGCTTCTGTTTCTTCTTCCTCTGCTATAGCTGATTCTTCTGATGCATCTATGTCTTCTTTTCTTTCATTTCGTATTCTTCTCTCTCTTTCTCCATCTATTTCTCTTTCCCATCTTTCCTTCTCTTTTCTTTCCACTTCTAATTATTATACTTTTCATTTAGGGCATGAGGAGCACAGCTTTTATTGTATTTGGCTTCTCCGTTAGTTACTTATTTGTATTTTAATTCTTTCTATTCCCCTCTTGTTTATTTCTTCCTCTTTCTTCTGGATTTTCACTTCTCTTTTACTTCTTCTCTTCTCTTGCCAATCTTCTTGTATTTTTCCTCATCGTTATCCTCTTCTCTTTCTTGTAATAGACGGCATTGGGGATTACGAATGGAACGTTCCGTCAGTCGTATGGGTACACATTCCATAAAGTAAATTTGGCTTATTTCCTGCTGCCTGTATGTTTCATTCGCATTTCTCCCTTTCTAGTTTTCTTCATACTTTCTTCTCCTCCCTATTTTATCATTCCCAGCATTCCTCCTTATGTATCTCTTAGTTCTCCTGATCTTCCTCAGTCTCTTGTTCCCTTTCTATCGTGTTCTTCTCTTTTTTCCTCTTTAAAAATGGCCCCAATTTCTTTCTTTAAATTTCTTTTAAGATTGGATTAGTATACATAAACATTATAAAAGTGGCATAGGTCCGATTTTTACGGCCAGGTAGTTTTCTGTTTTCCCTCAATATTACGAGCAATATGTGCTATTTTAAAAAATTACAAAAATATGGTTTTCTAAAACACGGCTTCAATTTTTTCCCGTAAACTTTTGGTCAGGATAATACTAAATGACTAAACAAAATGTTATTAACGCCATATTGCTCTATTCTTTTGTTTTTTCAAAAATTACAAAATATAATTTTTTGACTTGTTTCTACTTGTTAATACTTATATTAGTGCCGATTTGTTTACTTTGTTTTATTTATGAGTACATGTGCTTCAAATTATGTCCAAAAGTTTTTCGAAAACTAAACCGTTTTCTGTGAAACGTAGCTCAACATTTCGCAATTTCAGAAACGTTCAAACGCCATTTCTAAAAAACAGAGGAAGGAAATTGAAAACTAATTCGGGGAAGTCGTGCCATTGTGTTGTACCACGAGTTTACTATGCGTAGTTATATTACAACGACCGAAGGAAATAGAAAACTAATATGAGAAAGTGTGTGCCATTCCGTAGCCTCTCTAATTCACTTTCTCGCTCTCACGAAATCACTTCTTAAGTAATTGTGTGCCGAAAAATGGCGAATTTCAAGGCTGTAAAATTCTTATTGCAGGGCTGGTGACAAAAAATTGGATAAATCTTGTTGATAAATATAGGAAAAATTCCTATAATACGTAATGTAGTCCGAATCCATGTTTTATGGCTTCTTGATACCAAAAAATATTTTAACGGCAAAACGTGTGTCTGTCCGTCTGTGGACAACGCTAATGCCTAAACCGTTGATTTTCTTCAAAATTGATGAATCCCCGATCGATGTGAATGAATTCAACGCTTCAAGGCTTTGGGATTTTTAGACGTATGTTGTGAATTTTAAGAAAACTTTACATAAACCCGCAAAAACATTTTCAAAATATTTTTAAAAAGGCACCAATTTGTTATCAAACTTGTCTTCGGATAGTGTAAAGGACCCTTAAGAGAATGGTGTAATTTACCTCGAATTATAGGCAATTATAAAACATATTTTCTCAAAAACAGCACTAAAATTATTTTCAAGTTTTTAAAACTACGTGTTACATAAGCAAAATTATACAAACAGTTCAAAACTGCGTGTGACGTGCTAAGGGGAGTATTCAGTGCTCGTTTTCTTAATTCTGGGATCCCTACCTTAAACCGTATACAAGACGAATTCTGAATACAGAAATGAATAAGGCTTTTTTAGCAAGAATTGTTGGCAAAATACTCACTGCGATGTAATAAAATATATTTTCAAAGCAAATCAGCTTAGAGAGTTGAGTTCTTATCCCTCATCATGTCCTTTATGAAGAAATAAATTTGTGCCGCTAAAACATGGAGAACGATAATTTGAATAACTACTATATTTCCTACTGAATGCTAGAAGACATGCGCAGATAACGAAGTTGTATTTACGCCCAGAAGCAAAACAAGGGCCCAGAATTTGCTTGAGAAATCAGGAAAACTGGACAAAAACCTGATCGAGATGGGGGTCAATACCTCACAAGCTGAGATACAATACTGTGGTTTAGGATTATAAATCCCAATGGAACATAATACATGAAATATCATTGTTAAAGTTAATTTCCTTTTTGAAGCTCGGTGTAGTCTCGATGTACTTGATATTCACGTTAGGTAATGGCAGTAAACGGCCGCATTTGGACCTTCTGTACTGGGCCTCCTGAGAACTAGCTATTCTCTTACCTGAACTACATGTAAATTTATATCAGAATAATTCAATATACACGTTTATAGATTAAATATCTTGACTAATGAAAGAAATATAAGTGCACTTAGAATGAATTAAAGAGACGGGAATATTCGATGATTTCTTGCTGATAGATTGCTGGGATTGACCAAGGATGGAATCAATTCTCTATACCTTTTAAAACTTTTTTTTTGGTCCCCTCCGCAGTAACCCTGTGAAGAAGGTGAATTTATTCTCTTTAAATTTTTATACATTTTGCTGCTGCCTCGTGGCTTAAGCAGCTAGAGGCGGGGCTTTTTCTTACAACTAATTTTACATTCTAGACCTAAAGTTAACTTACTTGCACTTTGGCATTACTAACTTACACTAAGATCAATTTTGTTATACTATATACTACATAAATTGTTATTATATGGGTTGGTAAATTTTCTTTTTCTACATTCACACATCATTCATACTAGTTTCTTTGGAAACTCAGCACAGAAGGAAGAGTCATATGATTAATATGGCTTAACTACTCCTGAATGGCGAACAGAATTCTTACACTAACCGATTTAGTGGGTCTCACAGGAGCAATTTCCCATGTAAGCGAGAAAAAACGAATTTGTTAAAAGTTAATTTTATTAACATTATTTTAAAACAATGTTTTTAATTTAATAGATATTGATACATTTAAATGAAGTAAACACAGGGCTCTGGTTTTACAACACTGGTTCACGTGACTGATGTAACTTCCGGTTAGGTTTTGTTGAAACAAAGGAAGGCAAGGACATTAGACCTATTCAACCCAATTGAATAGAAGTTTTTATGTAAGATATTCAGGTCACCGGATATGCACATCCGACTCACATGTTTATTGAAGCAATATGTCTCGAGTAGCCAATGGATGGTTTGGCGACAGAAATAGGAAAAGTGCCATGTCATGTTTTTAAGGCTGATGATCTAATATTTAGTTAATGGATGTAATTTTATTTACTTATATTCTAAAAATCCAGCGGAATATTCACATTAATAGGCTGATATTTAACAAATTATTAAACAAAGTAATATTAAGTAAAAATAACAGCAACTAGTTACAATAAATGCAAAAAAATGAACTAAACTCCACTAAAATTAAAATTAATGACCACTGTTTATAACAAATGGAAAAGAAAATGAGTTAATCTATTGTTGTACGTGAAGTTTACTGCTGCATTGCACAAAGTGACAAGAGAGTCAGCAAAGATATCAATATTACTCTCTTAGCACTAATTATAAATTTATTGACTTTCAAGACCATTTTATAAAAAAAATTCTATTACTTGGATACCTATCATTTAAAAGAATATTTTAAAATCGTCTCACATAACGATGCGCGTTTTGCGGAATAGACATCGAAATCATTCCATGTATCAGTACACAAAAAAGTAATATTTTCAATACTTTAATGAAGAGAACAATTTATAATAATTGCCTTATATTAGGTTAGTTTTTCACTTACTGCCGAGATGAGTGTGAAAACGTAGAGGTAGAGTCAAGTAAACATCTTAGTTTTACATCCATATTAAGAATCCTTACCAATTTTAAATAATTTGTCGTATTTCTGTAAAGTATAAAGTTGTGTCTGTAAATTTAAAAAGGCGTGTTACCCATTTTCAATGTCTTGCTTTCATTTATTAAATATAAATAAATCTAACCATTGGAAAAAAATCACATTCATAGGAAGGCTATAAGGTTCTACGGCATTGATGAATGTTCAACACTAACCAAAATAGGTGGGTCATACTCAACCGCTGTCTCAAAAAGAATTCTGGAG